TGGAATGTGCTGCCTGGGGAGGTGGTGGATTCACCATCCCTGGAGGTTTTCAAGATGGGACTGGATGTGGCACTTAGTGCCATGGTCTGGTAAGGACAGTAGGGTTGGAGTCGATGATCTTTGAGGTCTCTTCCAACCTGTTTGATTCTATGATTAGACAAACTGAAGCATTGCTGTGAATCTATCATTTTGATTCCACAAAGCTTGCACATCTATTGTGATTGCTTGTATTCCATCAGTAGTTGCTCAGTCTGAGGCCTCAGATACTGAGAGGTGAAGGCTATTGCAAAGTTGAAGGGGGTTTAGTGAAGAGATGCAAATGTGTTTAAAAAGAAGAACAGTAGAATTACTGAAACACATCAAGTTCCTCAAGCTTAACTTCAGGGCTATGGTAGAAGACTACAAGTATTTTGAGGAGCTAGTCTGGCAGACAGAGGTGAAATCAAGTCTGGTGACTGGATTTTGAATGGAAAACCACATATTTAAAATAGTAACTTAGAAGTGCAAGTAGTGACAAGCTAGAAGCAAATATTGAGGTCTCAGATAAATTTGATGGATTTATGTTTTTTGCTATTGGCAGTAATTTTTCTGAAGATGCCAGGTTAGAGCTTTAGGGGATATATTGTGCGTGTGTTCTTGACTCAAGTGAATGTGATAATATGGCCTGTTGGAAGTTCTGTGAAGAGTGGCATACAGTGGCATGCAGAACGATTAGTAAGGAGATTGATATGGAATCCTCTTAAAAGTTAAGAAATCTAAGGATGGAATAATAAAGTACATTGAGTAGGGGGCTGCTAGATTAAATTATTCATAGTGCTTCTCTGTTTCGCCTTGGGACTGCAACTCAGAAGAAGAATCATACTGGAATTTCATGAAGCTGGAAAGCAGATGCACTGTCAACCAAGAAGCAGGTTAAAATATCTCCTGAGAAGAAGAGGGGACAATGAGGACTGTATCAGTAGAAACAATTAGTTAAATTGTACACAATGCAAGGTCACATGGAACTGAGAACGAATAGCAAACATCTAGTCTGATTGAATACTTCCAACTAAAACAATGTCTATGTGCTCTAGTTGTGTCATTGCAAAACTTGGGGGTCCAGTGCTCCAGAGTCCTTTTTGCTAGGATGACTCAAAAATGTGTTCATAAACTATTCCTGGACTCAAGTGTTCAGTCTGCCACTTGGACAAGTCACATGACATGTTCTTCATAATTCTGTGATTTTTTTGGGGCACAAACTGAAACGGGAAGTTTCATCCAAATAAAAGGGAAGCCTTTACTTTGAAGATGACTGAGCACTGGAATAGGATATTTAAAACTTGCCTGTATGTGATCCTGTGCAACCTGCTGGAGCAGGCGCACCTGCTTTAGCAGGGGAGTTAAGAGTACAGAATCACAGAACAGGTAAGGTTGAAAGGGACCACAGTGGGTTTAGATGATCTCTAGAGGCCCCTTCCAACCTCAACTCATCTGTGATTAACTTTTCCTTTAGAATGTTTCTGTATTATGCTGTGAAGATAAATTACTATATGCAGCGCATTCACATAAGATGTTCATAGTAACCACAATTAAACTCATAGCTTCCATTCTTAAATATGTAATAATCCTTGTGACCTTCCAGCCTTGCAAGGGGGGTTTCCTTCATAGATTTACACTATGGACTAAGCAAGCAGGCTTTGTAGCTTCTGATGCTTTTAGTCTATAAGCTGCTGTAGCAACATGTGTTACCAGTCTGCCTGTGGCTCTTGCTTTGTGGACATTCCCCCAGAAGTGTTCTGTGGAGCAGCCAGCTGGCTTTTGTAGTAAGCTACTTAGCAAAACAGCACTTCATTTACATACTATGGTCTTCTAATTTGATGAATGTAAGCCTGTGATGCATTTTACTGCTGCTTTCGAGAAGGATACTTTTATTCTGGTCAAGTTCTAAAATATTAAGTTTTTTAACATGGAAGAATATTAATTAAATATGCTTCATCAGTTTCCTAATGGTTTCAAAATTTAGTAGATTATTAAAGTCTGATAAGACAGTGCCTAGTATATGTCTAGCCACACTGTGGCAGTGCTGGAGCAAGACTGACTTAACCTTTCTTTTCCAGCTCTTATTAACAGCCCCTCTGAAATACCTACACATCAGAAAAAAACAGTGTATCTCTGTCAGCTTTTGATAAGAATTGCAGAAGGAAAAAGCCTTGGTAAATACTCTGATTTTTTTTTTTTTATCACCTGTTTAAAAATATTTGTTAACTTGCACAGAGTTGTGTTAGGTTTGCTTTCACACAGCCTTTACATATCTATAAATAAAATGACTGGACTCTACATTTTGTACTATCTTTATTCCACATGAGACTGAGCTGTATGCAGGACCAGTGTGATTTTGTACTGACTGATTTAGCTGCTTTGACTTCAAATGACTATATGTTTCTTCAGTTATTAGTCTTTTTTTGTCAGAGTAGCATCAACAAAAGAAATATACTGGAAAACACTGACTAGCTCTTAGTAAGCAATACTTGTGAGTTTAAAGCTCAGGATGTGCATTCCTTTCTGCACATGTAACTCCAGAGGTTAAAGTAGGACAGACAGTAGGAATGAGAATATGAACAAAAAGGATGACTGCCCTTCTCTTACAGAAGGCTGTAAGACTTTCAGCTGGTAGCAGGTCCTTGGGGCTCTTATTCATTACCATATCTCCTGTTTGGCTGTATTTGCAACTTGTTGCTTTAGCCAAGATGATTTTGCTTGACACAGGAGTTTTTGGAAAACTAACTTTTTTTGTTGTAGATTTTCATTGTGTAATAAAGCTCATTGGAATGTCAGGACTTCAGAAGAAGTCTTGCCAGCATGAGCACAGAAGAAAAAAGTGTGTTCTAGCCTAACAGTGCCACAAAGGCTTTTTTTTTTTTAAAAACAAAACTAAATTTCTTATGTTGCTTGTCAGATAGTAAGTCATCTTGATTTAACTAAGCTTGAGAATCATGCTAATATGTAAAATAGTTCATCATATACAAATTCCAAAACTTCTGATAATACTTTAAAACTATACTATTGTATGTGACACTTGGGAATATGGCTTCAGTGTGGTTTTTTTATCTTACCAGTGTAGAGAATGACCTATGTGGTGAGGAAGACTGCATATACTTAGTAGGTGTAGCAGCACAACGTACATGGAAAGCTAATACATGGTAGCCTTTCTATTTTTTTCTAACTATTAAATTATTTGATCTGCATTGAGTCTGAAAACAGAGTAGACTATTTCAGATGCCAGCTCTTTAAGAGTTAAGCACACTGGTTTTACAGTATTCAAATAAACTTAACGTGAGATGTCATATTACTAAATTGAAACAATAGAGAAACACAAATTATTTTTAATAGTGTATATATGCACATAATACTGTCTGAATTTTCACTTTGTCTTACTGTAGTGGATATAAAATTTTTCTTTTTACAGTATTGCTTAAATTATTTACCTTTTGTCTGAAAAATACTTAATGAAAGGAATAAGTTATTGAGAGAGATTCTGCTGATGTCATATAGGAGGAGTAAGTGGGACTGAACATCTTAAGCTAAGCCAGCAGTGCTATGGGAAAAAACCACTTGTGCACCTGCCAGCTCCTCCTGTATTTGCTACACTGGCACACTCACTTGCACAGGTGGGCAATGATCCAAGTGGGAAACTGTCTTGAGAGTGTTGAGGTTATTTGGCTAGGCTAGATTTCTTCCAGGAACTTATCAGTGATCCTGCTTGCTGTGAGTTTGCACAAACCTTGGGCTTGGCACAGTGGTCTAGCAACACTGGAGGTTGTTTCTACTTATTCAGTGACACTCCTTTATTAAGCTGTTTGAATTTCCCTCTCAATTTAGCCATTTCAAATACAACAGAATGTTAAGACATGGAAATAGTGATAGACTCAGGGAACAAAAAAACAACTTAGGATGGTGGTAGTATTACAGATTTAACAGTATCAACGTCGAATGTTTTGATATGTGATGCTAAGCTTCTTGTATTATTGATGTGAGCCCAAATACCTGATGTTCAGCTTAGCACTATTTTAAGTGAAGAATAATTAGCTGATGCATAATATCCCTTAAAAATGCAACAGTGATGTTATTAGCAAGGATAGGAAGAACCAGTCGCTCTGAAAAGAAGACAGTTACTTCAGGTTTCTTAAACACACCTGGAGAGACTAAAAATTATACCAGTCAAAAGGAATTGAAATTATGTATAGTACAGAGTACTTTATTGCATATAAATGATGTAATATATATAGCTTTATATTCTTTAAGTTTTTTTAATACTTTTTTTTTTTACCCTCTAAGAATTACAGTTTGAAAAAGATCAAAAAATTTCACCTTTGGAATCTGCTCTGTCTTTTTGGACTTTACTTGAAAGGGAAGAAGTTAAACTGGAAAAGCTTCATGAAGATATTCATCGCTTGATTAAAATTCAGGTCTGTGTGACTTATTCAAAATGCTTCAGGATGCTACCTATTCATTGGGAATGAGTGTCAAGAGGAAAAGGCCCTGGGGATGTTGGTTGACAAACAGCTGGACATGAGCCAGCAGTGTGCCCAGGTGGCCAAAAAGGTCAATGGCACCTTGGCTTGGATCAACAATAGTGTGGCCATCAGGACTAGGGAAGTGATTGTCCCTCTGTACTCAGCACTGGTGTTCAGTTTTGGGCTCCTCACAGCAAGGGGGATATTGAGGTGCTGAATCATGTCCATAGAAGGGCAATGGGTGAAGGATCTGGAGCACAAGTCTTATGAGGAGCGGCTGAAGGAGTTGGGGTTGTTTACCCTGGAGAAGAGGATGCTCAGGGATGACTTTATCTCTCTACAACTATCTGATAGGAGGTTGTAGCAAGGTGGGGGTTCAGCCTCTTCTCCCATGCAACTAGTGACAGGACAAGAGGAAATGGCCTCAAGTTGTGCCAGGGGAGGTTTAGATGAGATATTGGGAAAAATTTGTTCACAGAAAGGGTTGTAAAACATTGGAACAGACTGCCCAGGGAAGTGGAGTCACCATCTGTGGGAGTGTTCAAGAAGCGTGTGGATATGGTACATGGTTTAATGATGAACATGATGGTGGTGCTAGGTTGATGGTTGGGCTTGATGACCTTAAAGGTCTTTTCCAACCTTAAGGATTCTATTATTCTATCCTGCTTAAACAGGACTGCTTTTACAAAAAGCCTGGGCTATTAGCAGGTGTACTGAATTAACAGAGTTAATAGACATGTACAGGGGACCTCTTTCTATGGAAAGTAGTTCCTGTATGTATCAGTTCAAATTTGTTTAAAAAGCTGACAATCTGAAAAAAAAAAATCAATTGAGAGATCAATTTCAAAATAACAGTATCTTGAGCTTTAAAATATAATATTAATAGCTTTTTTTAACTTAAAAATAAATATTTTTATTAGAAAACTTTTGGTTTCAAAGAGGAACATAGAAAAACACATTGATGGCTACTGGAACTGTGAGAGTCTTTCAGGAAGAGATGGAAGCATTGCTTCCTAGGTAAGTATGGGACACACTGCATCAGTGAGGGTCATTGAAATGCCTGATGGAGAGGTTTTAGGCCTTTATACATGAGCTTTAATGTTATTTCAAAGCTAACTGTTAAGCAGATAATTGTTGGTAACCCTTAAATATATAATCACCTGAAGTTTGGAAGTCTTGGAAAACTGTACAATTGTGGCTTTTCTTGTTTTTTTGAATCACAGGTGGAAAGTATTTCAGCATATTTTGTAATTATATCTGTTGCAGATTGTAGCAGTCTATATGGAAAGTAGATATTACAAAGAGGCCGCTGAAGTTCTTGAAAGGCTGTTTACAGACTCGGAGTCAGATAAGGTAGTAACTTGCTCAACTTGCATTGAACATTATTTGCAAACCAGAAAGCAGGGAGTGGGTTTCCAAAGTTAGCAGATACTATCAGCATAGCTTCAATTGTCTGTGCAGTCACTTACATACCTGTGGCACTTGTAAATACAAAAGGAAATTTGTGGGTAGGGGATTGATGGAAATGATGAGTGATATGGGGGAGTAAAATGCTTTTAGCAGCAGTCATTCTTGATCCCCTCTGAAGAATGAGGTGGCACTACAGATACTGGGAATTTGACAGTGCTGTTGTCTCAGAGCAAAAACAGCATAAATCTGCTGGTAGAGACATAATAACTCTCTAATAATCAGTCCACTGATTTCTATTGCAGTGGACTCTATTTGTCACCTCTAATTAGTGTTCTATGTACCAAAGCATCACAGGGAAGAAAAACTCAATAGCTTCTGTAGTATAGACTGAATGTTATGCCTTTACCTGGAAAAGACTGCATCACTCAGGAAGATGCAAGTTTGAGTGCAATCTCTTTAAAATAATGGCTAGTGCACACAACTGAATTTGCTGCGGTGGAGAAAAGAGCGAAAGGAGGACTGCGGGCAAAAAGAAAAGTTAAAAATACTGCCTCTATCTTCATCTGGTGTATTAGGACACATGTTCTAGGTAACCAGCAGCATGTGCCTAACTTACTTTCCAGATGCACTCCTCATTCAGAGGATTCAGATGTTTGGAAAGTGTCGGCTGTGGGAATAGTATTCAAATTCATCAATAAGAATGCAACCTGTACACAGAAGTTAATTCTCTTGCCTATGTGGTTTCTGTAAAATTCAGAGTGATTAGCAGACAAAATGTGAATTTCTGATTAGCTGTACTGATGTGTCTTTAATGCTGCTGCCCTAAGTAGTCCTTGTCCTGAACGCTGCACACCCCTTTCCATGGCAGTCTTTTTGAGGCAGCGAATGAGAAAAGAAAACCCAGTAATGAGTGGCTTTTTCTGGGTGTTCTTGTTCCATTGACAACCCTGCTTTCAGAGGTATTTATAAAGGAAATGAAAATGAGGATCTCTGGGAAGTTACACTTAACCATTTACTGAACATATAAAATAAATGCCTGGTATTATGCCTAATTGACTTTAAAACCCTTTCAAACTGTATCATGAAGTTGTATAGGGATATTCAGGAAACTATATAATCATGATGTTTAGCTTTCTGTATGTCCTGTTTAGCATAGATATCAAGTTTACTGCAGGATTTGTGTTGGATAAAGATGTGCTTTTCTTAGCCTTTAAGGGTGAAGCTGGCAACCATAATTAAAAGCAAGGATCCATATGTTCCTCTTCTCCAAAACTTCAGTTACCGTCATTTGATAAGTAAAGTCAAGTCTTACATTAAACCTTTCATGAAAGAAAGTGAAACTAACATCTTAATACAGGTATGTCAAAAGCATTTTCTAAACTTCTCGAAAGAGCTACCCAGTAAGATCAAATAGATTTATACTTTCAAGGAAGTTGTTTAGGCAATATTCACTTACTGTATTAGATGAAAATGAAGCTTTGTCTTCCTTTGGATCGTCTTATATTCAGCCTTCTTGTTTTAATGTGTATTGGAGAAAGTTAGTAGAAATAAGACTCCTCTAAAGAGCTTCTATGAATGCTTTTTCCACAACTGTTTCGATTAGAAAACTAGTTAGGAAAAAAGCATATGAGATCTGTCACTAGAGTATGTTTAAGAGAAGCAGGTCTGATCTGAGACTCCTTTAAAATATAATGTAACTATGTATTTAATGCTTATTTTGTTTAAGTCTATAGGGCTTTTCATACTAAAAATAAAAGATCAAGATCTGTTAATTTGCCTGAAAGCTTTAGGAATGTCAGAGTAATTAGGAGATAGAAAACTATTATTGCTGCTTTCCTGTAAATGAAAAAGATTTTTACAAACAGTCTTACTCAAAAGTGATTTAAAATTGGCAAGAACAACATTCCTCCTGCAGCTCATCTTCAGGAGGATTGTAAAGAATTTCTCTTATGTTTACTTCCTATAAAAGAATATTGAATTATTCAATTACAAAAGCACAGATATCTAAAGGTAATAAGAAGCAAATTTTAAATAAACAATCCTGAAGTTCCTCTGGGGTTTTCATTTTCTTAGCAGGATAGACTAGGCAACTTATTAAATGCATTTGAAGTATAATACAAGGAATACCTTTTAATGGTTTCACTTGACTGTCAGTTTTCAAGGTTTTTTTTTTTTCCAATGCTATTTTTGAGTCTGAGAGGATATGGAGGTTTGAAGGTGTCGGAGAAGGCCCAGAACTCCACACTAGCATACCTAGGCCCTCTGTTGCACCCCCACTGCCTACACATCTGTCCTGCTGTCTGCACCAATATTGCAAATCTTACTTTGACCCAAGTTGTTCTGGGGTATGGAGGAGACAGCTTTGTGAAGAGTTCCTGCTTCTGTACAGTACACAATGGTTTCCCAACAGTGTACTCTGCGTTCTCTACGGAAAAGCATTGTAACTGTTAATATCTCTTTTCTTTTTCTAGTGCCATATGTGGAAGTATAATCATAGAATAGTTTGGATTGGAAGGAACTTCTGAAGTTTTAAAACTCTTTAAAGGCTCTCTTGCAACCCTCTTGCAATAAGCAGGGACATCTTAGAATCAGAGAATGTTAAGGGTTGGAAGGGACCTTAAAGATGATCGAGTCCCGACCCCCACTGCCATGGTCAGGGACACCTCCCACTGGACCAGGCTGCTCAAGACCTTATCCAGCTTAGCCTTGAACACTGCCAGGGTTGAGGCACCCACAACCTCCCTGGGCAGTATCTAACCACCCTGTCAGCAAAGAGTTTTGTCCTAATATCTAGCCTGAATTTCCCTTCTTTCAGTTTGTACCCATTGCTCCCTGTCCTATCACTACGGATCCTGAGGAAGAGCCCCTCCCTGGCTTCCCTACAGGCTCCCTCTTCAGATGCTGGAAAGTTGCTATGAGATCTCCACATAACCTTCTCTTCTTCAGGCTAAGCAGCCTCATCTTCAATGAGATCAGGTTGCTCAGAGCCCTGTCCAACCTGGCCTTGAAAATCTACATTGGATTTCAACTTAACATGCTAGAGTTGTTTTGAAACTACTTATTTTAATGGTAATACATCTGAAGTTTCTGTGGAATAACCACTGTTAGTCCTAATAGTACACATATTAAACCTAGTGTAAACTACTCTCCTAGGTACTTGGCTGGCTTTAATTTTAAGGTATCAATTCCATTTCTCACAGGAAGCCACAAAACAGGTGGTGTCTAAAGAATTGACATTGGCAGATTCATTTTGCAATGCTGTTGCTCCCAAAGAAAATGACCAAAGTTATTTGGAAACAGAACAAAGGTTTGTATTAAGCATAATACTGCTGAGGGACATACATGGACAGTAACTTGAAACTTGTGGAGCTAAGAGTAGGTAGAAGGAAGGATGTTATATTCCAAATTGCTGTCCAATAGAAAATTAGCTACAAGCATGTTCTCAATTTTCATTAAAATTTAGGTTCTTCTATGGTTGGTACTTTTGGCATTTAAAAACATAAAGACTGCTTTTTTTTAATGCCTGATGGAGCTCCTTTTAGTCCTGCCCTCCTAGTTTCAGGCTACAGGTTGTCTCAAGAAGAAAGAGAATAAGGAAAGTGAATCAATCTGTTGTATTTTCCTTACCACCTGAACCCTTAGTGATACTAGTGTGAAAGGAAATAGTTAACGTTGCTTAGGATTCTGGCAGTGTGAACCCTCAAAATAATTACATACTTATTTATCTTAATAAAATACTAATATCCTAGGTTTACCAGCACTTTTTTTATGGAGAATAAATTGTAATCTTTAGTTGGGATAGAGCTTGTATTTCTGAGGTTTTATACTTTGTATATTAGGCATCATTTAGTTAAGGAAATTGATGCAGACAGTATACAGGAATGTACAGTATACAGGAAGACAAATGCTAAGATAATTTTTTTAGAAGGGCAGTACCCGACACAATTACATCTCAGAGATATTATTTTTAAAAAACTATGGAAATAATTGCTAATGAGAAAACTGATGTGCAAAATGCCTCATATCTCCAAGTTAAATGTGTACTTTTGGGGTATTTCTCCTCCAGGTATAGGGAGGCAAGGTTAAGAGGAGTAATGGATTGATGCAGTTAGTGTTTGTATGCTACTGCTTCTGTAAAGAAATTCAGGATTTTCTTTCATTTACATATTGTTGAAACATAAATGGCAAGTTGCTGCCTAGGAAATTTATTTTGATTTGCTTTCTTTTAAGTTTGTCGAAAGAACAACAGCATACCACAAATCAGTCAATTGAAGGCATGAGAAAACCCTCCATAAGGTAAAAATTTTTTTTATTGTTGTTTCTCTTAGTCATAGATTTTTCATGAAGTTCTGTGCATTTTTGCTTCAGTTCTGTGTTCCTTGCAGGCCTCATTCAGAACAGAAACACAGCATGAGCAGAGGTCTTCGGAGTGAGTATTAGTTTATTTTTACGAAACAGTTGTGTCAAGCACTTCTATACAAAGTGATTGCATTGATACCAAAATAGTTGTGGTGGAGGGGAAAAAAATTCCCAGTTGTTGTGTGGGGTTTTTTGCCACAAATGCATGTTTGGTTGCCATATTTTGGAAGCTGTGAAGTGGCTTAAGGATCTCTGACAACTCATTTAGCAAAATCATTCAGTATGGGATTTACAGTGTTCTGTGTAAAAGAAAGTTGCCAGAAGAGTACTGAAACTTGTGTCTTTGAATTCTGGGCTAGATAACTTGCAGGGGCAGAAGGGACTAAAGAGATTGGCTAATTGGAAAACAAATTGTAGTGTAAAATGCACAACTTAGGATGTTTGTGCATTTTCCTAGTATTAGTTTTTAAAAACTGAACAACATGGATTATGTAATACTTGCAAGTAGCTTCTGAAGACCATCAGCAGCCTTTTGCCGCAAAGAGATGACATAGTTTCTGCACATGGCTGTGTTGTCCATGGAAGGCTCTTAAGATGCAGTGAGTGCTTCCCACACTTAAAATCTGACGCGTACTTGTAAATAATGGAATTTGTATACCAAGTATTATAGCTCTGATTGCTGGTTACTTCCCATTCTTTGTGTTAGAGCAGTATGTATAGTAAAAATATTTTTACCAAAATGAAACATTTCATTATTATGTACCAATTTTTACCTAAGTATTTAGAATATAATTCTTGTGAGCTCTACACAAAAATATGGTGTTAAAAAAAATCACACTTTTTTTGTCCTTGGATTAAGGTGAAATTGATATGTATTCATATATAAAAGTATGTTCATGTGTAAACAGACACTGAAATTTTTCCAGTCTGTCAAAGCATGTCAAAACAGTGTATGTTCTTGTCTCATATAAATTGTAGAATGTAAAACTGCAGCCTTAACATCATTGCTCTGGATGTATATTAACTGTGTCTTCTAGGTCTGACCAACTTGCAAAATGTGGAACAAAATGGAGTTACTTTGGCTTGTGCTCGAAGAAAACAGGTTTGTACCCATTCTCTGTTCAAAATGGAGATAAAAGTAATCTGTGCTGTACAGAATTTTTTTCTATCTTTGACTCTCTCTCCAGAATGTCTAGGCTTAAGATTATCTACATTACTGAAGCTGTGCTATAGCTCCTGAAACTATTCAAGTTTTATTTCCTGTCTTCAAAAGAAAAGGACGTTTTTTGTAGGTCTTAAATATTATTGCTAGTGCTTCTGAGCTTTAATTTGTGGAAACACACTATTACTAAAGTTTAGTCTAGTTCCTTTTTTTATAACATGAAAAAAAATTTCTTTCCACTGTCTGGATTAAAGGATTCAGGATGTCATTTGACCGAGTTCTGAGCAAACATCAAGGACCTCTTGTTTCCCACTTAGAAAGTTAAAGATTTAGCAATTTTATGATTCAGTAGTTTGTTCATGTGAGGTGAAAGCACCTATTTACTTGGGAAACTATTCTAGTTTTTATAAACGAAATAGGGTTGTCTTACAATGCTACATTTCAAATGGTCCTTTGCACTCTCTTCATGGGTAAGCTTACTTCATTGAATTACTTCAGTGAACATAGTAGGGTTATTTTAATGCTAGAATTCCCTATTGGTGGGAAGTGCGGAAGTGTATATCATAATAGAAGGCAATTTGAAGTTGATTTGACGTTAGGGTAAACCGTTTCAAACTGATTTTTGCACATAGCCAATTTTCATTCCTAAGTGTTCAGCATTTTATCATGATAACTGAAGGAGTGAATATTAATGTATTGCCATTGTTGAATTCATCTTCATAATATCACTTAAGGAGCAATTTGGGGTCTCTCTGTTCAGACAACTGTGCAAGTTATCATCATACTCCATTTTGGCGTGATCTATTTCGTTTTTCTGGTGTTCGTGTTGATGTTTCATTTCTCATAAAACAGAAAAGGCCAAACCTGCTTACATTTTTTCAGATTGTCCTTGAGGAGAGTTGTACTTATTCCTAGTTCTTTAAGCATTTTTACTGATGTTGAAATACTGGTTCAATCTTCAGTCACATGCTGTCCTCAAATTTGTTGAGGTCCTAACTAGAGCTCATCTATCCTTAGGGATTAAGCCCCTATAAACAGTTTTTCACAAGTCTCAGGAATAGTTACATCACTGAGAGCCACCTTAAAAGCATGTATATTTCCATCAAGCTTGTTTTCAACATTGGGATTTAAACTATTTGGACTGCAACTGACACAGAGCTAATGAGAGCTTTGTATTCACATATTTTGATGCTGATGTAGTCTGTTATGGGGTCACCTACAAGCACTGTTTCTAGGGCTAGGGCTTATGCACATGTCTTGTTAGATAAAAATAGATGATGTTTGCTTAATTATGTTGTAGAAAACTATCTGATAGTAGTGAAGAACTCGCTGAAAATTTTCTAAAAACTTGAATGAAACTGTTTCTTTAAACACTTAGAAAAGTTGTAGGCGTTTGCTGATATTTATGCCATATTTGCTGCTAATGAGACCTCTCATAAATATAGGCAATGATAATTGGCCTTTTAAACAATATATCTGCTCCTCTGCTTAATCATCTGGGTTATAAAATTGTTTGCATGCATGAAAGAATGCAATGAATGTCAGAGCTGTTGACTTCTAGAACTTCCTTTTCCATCTAGTCCCTCTTTCAATGTTGGCATTGTTTGCTCGTTTTGTAAATGGTATTTCACTGCAATGGTTCAGTGCCCATTTTCAGCCTTTTCATTGCTGTGTTTTCAGTTAGCTGCATGCAACAATCTGCAGTGCTATTGAAAGGAAGTGTATGTTATTTTCTGTACCTAAATTAAGGGATGCAAGTGTCACAGAATTTGAGCTGTTTGTTCCCAATTTTATATCCTGTACGTGTATGGCAAGTCCATTAAGTTGACTAAAATCTGGCTGACAGTTGGCTAAATTAAAGAATGTGTCTGAAAAATCTGGATCTTCAGAATTTAGTCAGACTTGTACGGAAGAAAAATCTCCATATATTTAAACCTGGAGGAAAAATATCAGAGTCCCATAATGCATAAAGGAAGACAGGTTACTAGAGCAGAAGCTCCTCTAACAAGACCTTTAGATATGTGAGGGTATTCTGCCTGGCAAACTCAAGCTTGCTCTGCTGGTGTTCCGAGCTGGCCAGATGTCATGTTGCTCTGGACTAGGCGCTGTAATGATGTGAGCTCAGTGTTGTGCTGCACTGTGTCCAGGCTTTCAACCAGTCTCAGTAGCTTCTAACAGCTCAAAGCTGCAATCTGTGTAACTGCTGTCCCAGAGGGGACAGGCAGCTCATCAGTGAGTGGGACACTTTCACTGTTAGGGTGGTCAGGCACTGGAATACGTTGCTCAGGGAGCTGGTGGAGTCACCATCCCTGGAAGTGTTTAAGAGGAGTCTGGATTTGCTGCTGGAAGATATGAGTTAGAGGTTAGAGGAGTGACAGGTTAATGGTTGGACTTGATGATCTTAGGGATCTCTTCCAACCTTGATGATTCTATGATTATATAGGATGGGGGGCAAGTTACTGCTCTGTACAGTTCTTCAGTGGAAAGAAAATGAGTCTGATTTACCTGTGAGGCAGCCTTCTCATATGTTAAACTGAAGAAATTTATTTTTTACAAAGATCAATACAAGCAATTGAAAATTAAAACAAGCTAAAAAAACCCTCTTTTTAACAGCAAATATAATTAATCGTTGCAAGTAACAAGGATTGTGGTTGTCTCTGGAAGTATTTGAATCATCTGGTGCTGTAGGTCGAGCATAACTGTGTTACTTGAATAAAGATTTTATTTAGGAAAGTTTGCTGGCATGCTCTGAAATAAGATGAACTACATGATTCCAATGGAATCTCTGGCCTTGTAATAATAGCAAAAAAAAAAAAGGCCATTCACTGCTACTGTTGCAAAAGATCTGTGGAACAGAAGTATTAGAAAAAAGAAGTATTTTTGATAAAGATTAGACTACTTTAGAGAAGTTTTAGGTTCTCAGCTGTTTAGAAATACAGCTGAATGACAATCACTTGTAATTCTTTCACTGCTTAGTGAGGTTTGTCAGTGATTATAGCTTACTGAAGAGGCACTGATAGTTGCATTAAGGTGGAATAAGTCCAAGTTTAAGATGTGAAATTTGACAGCAGCTTGTATTTTGTGTAGGTGCCACGTTTTCCCTTGTTGCAGAAGAACCAGGCTACAGTTTTGATCAGGCTGAATGTTATCTAAGCTCTCCTTTCCCCCTGCCCTTCATGTCTGAGTGCTGATGATACTTTTAGCAGCTTAAATTCAAGCGAAGGGGGAAACCATGCAAAAATTGGAAAATTGTTACCTGGCTCATTCCTGGTGCCTGAATTGATGTTGCTTTTAAGAGCAGAATCTTTCTAGGGATCCCAGAAGGGTTCCTGGTTATTAGGAGAGGAGAAAGGACTCTTGGCTGAAGCCCCAGCAGGGATTTCAAAAGGTCCCCTACCTTTCCAAGCAGTGGCAGGGAGCAGCCCATGATTTGCACAAGTGAAGCAGGAGCTGTGAAATCCATTCACAACACCTGGTGCTGTTGTGGAAATAACCCGAATTGCAGTTCAGATCAGGTGACAGCAGAAGGAGTTTATTGCTATGGCTATAGAAGAGGACAGGGAACAGCAGTAACAGCTTTTGCTGATATGAACTCTGCCCGGATGGGGCAGCTACACAATTCTCTAACTTTTACAAACTGTGTTTTTTCACCAAAATCATGTTAGATAAGCAGCATATGGTATGTAACAACAGTGAATTTAATTCATCAGATGAGGAAGCTCGAGATTAATAGGTCCTTTTACAAAGAGTTCACTCCTTAGTCAGTGAAATCATTCTGACCAGCAAGACCATTAGCTGCAAATGCTTCTTAAATCCTGAGCCCTGCAAAGGCCTATTCAACACTATTTTGCTTTCACACACTGAACATGAGTAAGGAATTGCAGTGCTTTCCATCACTTGCCTATGTAAATTTCATAGTACTCATGAACAGAAATGCTGACTTTTCTGCTATTCCAGAGCAATTCCAAAATAAGTAAAGAAGAGGCAGTGGTTAAATGCAGAAATAAGAGCTGCTTGGTTGGATTTTCAGCAGTCATTCGCTCATGACACACATAAATACATGCAAATTTTGTAAAAGTCTGGTAACTAATGATTTTTAATATGGAACCTGCTGGTGCTCACAGAAATGCCAGTATGATACCAGTGAAAACTGACCATTTCGCTCCTTTCATAACTTACTGTGGTCCATGAGACCATCAGGAGCAGCAGGACAGTCTCCTGTGCAAGAAGCAGAAGTGAACACAAGTAAATTAAACCGAACAGCTGCACAGTACAATTCTCTGCATCTCAATCTCGTTAAGATTTTTAAGTTTGCATTTTTACTGTAAGTTAAGTCTTTACATCTCAGGCTTTGGGGGAATAAATTTAGAAAGAACATCCTATCAAATTGCAGTTTGATATCCTCAGCTGAGGATCCTGTCCTATGTTGGCATAGATTATTGCAATTCATTTTGCCTGAGGTGGTGTGCTGATTGTACGTCAGTATGATTAGCTGTGCATTAAGCAAGCAAGGATTTGAAGACATTTGCAGAGGATCAGATTCTAGCAGAATAAGTTGTTTTAAAATATTCCTATTAAGTTGCTAATTACTATTTCAGAATGAAAAAATGACTGTCTAATACAGCTTATACAAATACATACTAAAAATGCAGTGGTTAAAAAAAGACATAGTATATATAGGATTTGCAAACTTTTGTTCTATATATGTGTATTTTTATTAAATTGATAAGGGAAAGTTGATATCTGGTTCTTCCTCATACTTTGCTGTCAGTTTTTGTTTATTCTGTGCAGTCTTAAAAGCAAGTAAAGAAGAACTGGAAGGAATTGCTTACAGATGTGCAGCTGCAAGTAACTTTCTCTCCTTTTATGAGAGAAAAGTCATGCCCTGGAGATTAAAAGGTCTATAGCTCATGGCAGTCAGACAAGTAGTGGGCTCAACAAATGGCCAAAAGCAAATGCATAGCTGTCACTTGAGGATATGTCTGATCTTACTTTCAAAGGCAATATGGATAATTTTGCTTCTATGAGCATTTTAAATATTTGGGAGTTTTTTTCCCTAAGCACACTGAAATTTGTTGTTGGTAAATGTCTTGATTCTCAGTCCCTAGCTTAATGTGTCACAAAACACTCTTTTGTGATGCATACTAGGATTAATCAAAGTTTGTCTTGGCTCAATTAGCTAATAAAGTACAATTTTGGAAAGCATGTTTTGAGTGAAGCAAAACTTTGTCCAGTATCTTTTTTTCTTTTGTTGTTCTCCTGCAACTTGTGAACACTGAAACATGTAGTTCTCATTCCATGTGATACCTGCTACTGTATTGTAACACTTGACTTGGTAACCTTTGTAGTTTTATTTAGTTTCAATATATGGTCCTCAAAAACCCCTCTGAGATCTGTACTCTATAATAACTAGAGGACTGTATGAAAACTCGATTTTTGTATTTGCTATAAGGTTAGCTCTTCCATTACTACCTATCTCTGTTCATATATGTAGTATTTTTCTGTGTTCTCCCCCTAGCGATGGACTTTCAAAGAAGACTTAGAGCTGAAATCAGGAGTAAGGAAGTTTGGAGTGGGGAACTGGGCGAAAATTTTGGTCCATGGTAACTTCAACAACCGAACAAGTGTTATGTTAAAAGACAGGTGGAGAACATTGCACAATCAGAAACTAGTCTGATGTGGACTACAGGAATCAACTCTACTTG